TCTCCACTGCTTCCCCCTCCCTGCCAGCTGTTGTTGGGGGTAGTGGGGATAGCATGGCAGCTCCCTTGCCCCTTTGGTCCCTAATGCTCCAGGCCCTTGCAGCCAATTGGCATGCACCCTCTCGGTGGCACATGCACAGTTGGCCTGCAGTGTTACAGACAGATAGACAGACAGACAGACAAAGGCTTTTATCATATTAGAATACACACACACGCACACATTCATACAAGTTTAAGATTATACATTTAACTAGGAAAAGGTCACCAAAGGCAAGAGGTTCAGGCTTTTAATTTGATCATGTAGCCTATATTATATAAATTGAAGGATACATGTAAAAGCAGATTAGTCTAGAACCCCACATTTATTAGTTTATATTTATAAATGTATATAATATAGGCCACATGGTCGAATTAAAAGCCTGAACCTCTTGCCTTCGGTGACCTTTTCTTATTTAAATGTATAATCTTAAACATGTATTAATCTAAGTCTATGTTTTTACCTACTCCAGAAACAGAAGAGCAATTCATAGCCAGCTTTGTCATGTTTGCATATAGTGTTCAAAACACAGAAGAGAGCCCGAGTTTCTGCAAAGTCCACAGAGAACAGTTCTGCAATACCTCAAGTATACATGATGGCACAGAACTCAGGGATAATTTATAATAATGCATGAAGTGGACAGAGTATTGGAATACAGAGGCAGTCTTGCCATGAAAAGTGTATTGTAAAGAGGCTGTATTTATAGGGATGTGTGTGTACTGTAGGTACAGTATCTCAAAGTATGTGGTACACAAAATAGAAACACACACCATTGGAGAGATGGAAATTCCAGTATTAAAGAATGATGCATAGAGGATTTTTTTGAGAAAATATCTGGATAATCCCAGCATTTTAGAAGTGATCTAGTATATGCATATATCACATCACTAAAAAGGCCCAGTGGATGAAGTAAAATGGGACTTTCAACAATAACTGTCTTCAGCCAAACACCAGTAATTTAGACTCTTAAGAGAAGGGAAGGGGAAAGCATGTTACTAACTGGAATGCTTCACATACAAGTCAGTGATTTTTCAAACATAATTGTTACTGAATGTTAATAAATACAAAGCTCCTTGATATGTTCACAAAACTAAAGCCAGACTCACTACAAAGCTTTAGAGGCCACCTGAGTCCTGTTTGTTAATGCCCATAGCATTTCCCATTTCTAAATGTTTTGACACTACAAACATAGAAAAGGAGCATAGAGAATAACAGATTTAGAAGGAATAAAGTAATCATGTACAATTTTCTCTTTTTTCCCATTGTGCTTCATTAAGCTATAATAGTTTCCTTTGAACTTGGAAACAGGGATTGTTTATTTCAGCAGGGGCATGTGATTCAAATAGCCTCTTAACATTTGTTGGAAAAAGGAATGATCTAAATGGCAAATATTAACCTTTGTTTTAAGAAAGGTTAATATTAATTAACCAAATTAACATGTTGAAAAAAATTATTTCTGTGCAACAAAAATCTGGAATTTCTAGTTTAGATAAAAAGGTGCTATACATATTTTAATGTTCAGTGTTAACTGAATTCCCAGAAAGAACAGTAGATTCTTCCAAGAGAAGTATACTTGCTAAATTCTGGTCAACGTGAATATAAATCTCGAGAGCCTCAGACGCCACTGGTTACCTGAACCCTGCTTCCATTTATCTGCATCCAGCACCAAGAATGATAAGCTTTATGTGGAAAGACACATACTGGGTTTACAGCAAACCAATCTGGCTTCTGATGCGGGCTATACTAGGGGAACCACAAGTTTATGTCCTTCAAATTCAGTAATAGAAGCTACAGCTTCCCTACATGCCTGCTCTGATCCCAAGCTAAGAAGAAGAATCCATCCAATCCCAATAGAATGGTCCTACGGTGATCTCACATTCACCTTCCCTGTTCCCAAGCTTTATAATAGTGTATGTAAAAGATCAGATGAATTAGGCAGAGTACATTTTATATAACTATTTAACAAAAATCTCTAAGGTGCCACCCAGCCCATTTCATAGTAGTATTCGAGTAATCTGTCAAAAGTGCATCTAAAACTTTTTAACATAGAAAATGCACACTTTTTTCAAAAGCAGAAACAGGGGTAAAATGCCTTTGTTTCTCATTTTATTCTATGGGCAGACTATTCCAGCTTCTCTCTATTTTCTTAGTAGAAAAGGAAGCCAAGATGTACCGAGTGGCAGATCCAGGATTTAAGAAAGGGGGGTGTAGGAGTAATAACCTGCACTGCAGGAGAGGCTGCATCCTGGCTCCCAGCCTCTACTCCCACATACTACGGGGCAGACTGGATGGCAGGACCAGCAACAAGGGCCTTTCTTCCATTCCCCAAGCACATAAGAACCTTTCTTCCCCCGTCCCTTTCTGTCTATGCTCAGTGGCACATTCCCTCCCCTCTCCTCCTCCCCGGCTCTCTACCATCACTGTCCCCAGCTGACTGGGGGCAGGTGGAGGGAACTCCAGAGCTATTCTTGCTCTTTTCCAGCCAGGCTGAATGTGGAGCCAGGCTGAGCCAGAGACTGCAGCAATACGTGGGTTCCCTTCCCCAGCACCTGCTCCCAGGCTGGCAGGGAATACTGAGGAGCCCAGGCAGAGAGGAGGGACCCACCCACTGCTGCCCCTGCGCCTGGCTGAACTTGGCTTTACACAGAGCCCAGGTGGAGTGGGGCAGGAGTGGCTCTGAAGCACAATGCCCTGGGTCTGTCAGAGACACCGGCAGAGGGAGCAGGGGGTGGGAGAGGGAGGAGAGGGGAGGGAAGGTGCAGCTGAGCACAGACAGGAAGGGAAGGGGAAATTCTTACTTGCTCTGGGGACTTAAAGAAGTCCCTAGTTGCTGCTTCCAGGATGTGAATGACCAAAAAGGGGTGCGTCCATGCCAGTGCAACCCCCCTGGATCCACTCCTAAACGTATTCAGGAAGCCTTTGTTTCAGAGCTACCTGCAACCTTACTATACATTTTTTAAAGACTTAATTTACCTTTTCTAAAGGAAGGCAATTTGTTATTTTCAGAAACTGTTCTAGGGAATTACCCTGACAGGTAGGAGATTCTGTAGAAAAAATAGTAGAATTTTTAGTTTCTAGAACTGAAAACTCTTCTATCGCTGCCCAGAGCCGTTAGAGCACCCCCCCCCGAACAGACATCTGCCAGTTGGGTTGGGGGCGAGGGGTGTAGCCTGCCTGGACCAGCCCTGGCTATGGGGTGGGGGCACTCTAGCAGCCTCCAAGGAGGTTGTCGAACTGCTCCTCTCCCCAGCCCCTACTCCCCCAAGCTCTGGGGCTTCCAGTGAGGGAAGGAGTAAAGAAGGGAGAGGAGCTGCTGGCCGCTGAATGGCCAGAGCTGAGGGGCATGGAGGCAGGAACGCAGTTCTGTCATCTCACAGGCCCCCCTAGCTACCCTGGCTGGGGTATTGGGGGGATCCAGGCTGGGCAAGGTGAAAGGACTCCAATCCCTCCCCCCCCCGCCCCCCCCCACACACACACCAGCTCTGGCCATTCAGCAGCTGGGAGCTCTGTACTGGTTGGGCCCAGCTGCTTTGTAGGGGCAGAGGGGGGGG